TCATATTACATATGCCTTTTTGTGACTGGCTTCTTTTATTTAGCATAATCTTTTCAAGATTGAGCCATACTGTACCACGTATCACTACCTCATTCTTTTTTTATGGCCAAATAGTATTCCATTCTATGACCCTACCACATTTGGTATAGCCACTCATCAGTTAATGGACATTTGGGTTGGTTCTCCCTATTAGCTATTTTCTACTATCAACATTTGTGAACAAGTTTTTGTGAGATGCTTTCAGTTTTCTTGGCTATGTACCTAGGAGTGGAAAAACTTGTTTGTTCTTGCATGTCAGTAATAGTATCAGTAACCATACATACTGGTGAGGATCCTAAAGTATTATTGTACACACTGACTGAGAAAAATAGTGAGGGCAAGAAACGGGGTGAAGCAAGAGAGGCACAGAGAAGTGAATTGTTTTGACCTGGCCACACAGCCATAGGAAAGGACCATGGAGGAGGAAGTCATAAGTGGCTCTCATGATAATTAGCCAATGAAACGGTTATAATTTTAGGGAGAAAGCCCTGGAACATTTTAAAACGCATACACATAGTCATGTGCACCGTCACTTAACTATATGGGTTCCTTTTTAATTTCATCAGGTCCTTTGTTACCTACGATCTGCCTTGTGTTCTAGGTCCCTGTGAAGACCATCACACACACTCTCGGTGGAATTAAATCCTCCTCCCACTCCCCAGGCTTTTCACCTCATCCTCGCCACGGGGAGTGCTGCCTTTGCAGGGAGATTTGGAGCCTTGAGAAGTGGAGGCTCTTTAAAGGACTTCTCTTTTGTCGCAGCTGCAGTTCTCAGAGCTCTGTGTGTGGGAAGCACGGAGCCACACTGTTCTCTCACACCATCCGGGCCCTTTGGCCTGATCTGCATCTGTCACCAGATGTGTGCATAGCAAAGAGCTGAGGCGGCTTTGACACCCAGCAGGTGGAACCAGATGAAACTGCCCACAGTCATTATTTCTGACCTTCAGAAATGACGATCTCAGGTGAGTCAGCCTGGAAGTCTCTGGGAGCCCCTCCTTACCTTCTCGGTTCCCCACCAAAGATCCAGGTTCTGGGCTCCAGAAACTTTTCAGCCCCTGCAGCCCAGCGGATCTTTCCTGTTCAGCTTCTAGAGTGGCCATTCCCCTGCTCTCACTGCTGCCTGAAGCAGTGGGAGGCATTGGAGAGCCCGGAGTCCGGGACCTTCTCCACTCACTGCCCGTCTACCCAATGATCTGTCTACCTTCAGCTTGACCCCTCCACTCCAGGCCTCCTAAAAGCATGGATCAGCCCCAGCCACCCTCTACTTCAAGTCTTGCAATGATTCCCTATCACCTAGTACATAACAAGTTCAACACCTGGCCAAAGGACACAACTTAAGTTCTTCCCGCTGGGTTTTTGCTCCAGCCATGCCTAACTCCTAGCAGACCCCTGCAGGTACCCACGCTCTCCCACCTGCTCCTTTGCTCAGCGACCCCTGACTTATCCTTCAAGACCTCTCCCAGGAGTCTTCCCTGAGCCCCGGGGCTGAATGAGGAAACTTCTCTCTGTCCCCATTTCTCTGTGCTTATGTCTCTCCTGGCACTTACCGTCCATATTTGAATTACCTGTTTGCAAGTTTGTCCCCATCTACCCTCCTGCATAGGCTGCCGGCTCTGACAACTTCACCTCATTCTTCCTCCAGTCTCTATCCTCAGGCTGGAGTCAGCCAACTCTTCTTAACACAAGTAAGCAGTGGTGCCCATGACTCAGTTTCCCTCTTGCCTGGAAACCATCCAGAGGCTTGGGTCTTGCCTCTTGGCCTTCTCTAAGTTTCATTTGCCTCTCCAGAACTGAAGGAGGCTGGTTTTAAGGGCTCTTTCAACTTTTAAGGTCTAAGGAACTGGGATATTGATCCTCACCCTTGCAGGACCCCTCACCAGGATCCTGTGTGGTACAAAGATACAGATGGAGAAAACTGTTTAAATGTTTTACGTCTGAAGAAATTTTGAGGAAGATCATTTTGTTTTGTTTTAATGCAGCTAGTTGTCTGCAGAACACCTACTAACCACGTGCCAGCATTGGGAACAGTGGTTTGATACAAAGTTGTAGATACCAGCTTCCGGGGATTTCCTTTGAGTGCTGCCTTCCAGCCAGTCTGGGAGCGCCTACCCACTCCGGTTCCTCTCCTCTCTCGCTATTCACGGCTCCAGGACTTGTCTGGTCCATCTCCCCACATTTGCCTCTGCCCGAGCCAGTGGAGTCCAGAGCAGAGCGGATTGAAGTTGGCCCTTTGGATCTCGGCCCAGGCGCCCTCTGGCGGCCGCGCGCGGAAGCTGCGGCCCGGAGAGGAGCTGGCGAAGGGAGGAGGGAGGGAGATCGAGGAGGAGGCGCGGGCAGGGGAGGAGAGGAAAAAGTTGCGCTGGGAAGTTTGGAAAGTTGGGAAGTGGCTGCTGCGGGCTTCGCCTCCCTCCGCGCGTGTGTGTGAGGGAGCGAGCGAGGGAACAGGAGAAGAGTGAGCGAGCGCCTGCCATGCCCATCAGACCCCGCCTCACCGCGCCCGGGCGCAGAGCTCGCCCGGACTCCCTGCGGCCCGGCCCGGACCGGCGTCTTGTCCCGCCGCGCGCCTCCTGGAGCGCCGCGCACCCCTGGGACCCTTGCGCGCCCCGGGTCCCCAGCATAACCCCGGGTCCTCGCGCGCCCGCCGTCCCGGTACTGCTCCGGGAACACCGCGCACCCCTGGACCGCGACGCAGCTCCGGGACCTCCGCAGGTCCCGGGACCCCGGCGCGCTCTCACAGCCCCGGGGCTCGTCCAAGCGGGCGGCGCGCCCCGGTGAGGGGGCCCCGCCCCAGAGGATCCCCCTCTTACCGCAGACGGAGCCCCGCCCCAAAGGGACCCCCGGGTCCGGCAGGGACATTCAGCCACGCCCCAAAGGGCTCCCGGCATCCCGCGTCCGGAGCCCAGCGCTGCGGAGGAACCTCTGTGCCCAGCCGGGGGCTGCCTGCCCCGCTGAGGGGGCGCCGCCCAGGACGGTCCCCCGCGCCCCGCAGGCCCGGCAGGATGCACGCCGCCCTGGCAGGGCCGCTGCTCGCCGCCCTCCTGGCCACCGCCCGCGCCCGCCCGCAGCCCCCGGACGGAGGACAGTGCCGGCCGCCCGGATCGGTGAGCGAGCGCCCGCCCGGCCACTCTCCCGGCCGCCCGGCCACTCCAGCCCCGCGGGGACGATGGTTTGGGGGTCCTGCCTTCCGCACCCACCTCGGCCCACCCGCTCCACCTCTCCGCTCCGGGCGCTGCCTCGGGCGCCCTGCCCTGGCTTCTGCCGCCCGAGCTCCTGCCCCGTGCGGGGAACCGAGTTGGGGCGCTCCCTCTCCAGCTCCTTCTCCACTCGCTGACGCTCTCGGGCTCTCCTCGGACTTTCGGTCCCGCTTGGACCTTGCCGCTCTGTGCCCTTTTGGACTCCCGTCTTACTTTGATCCCGTCTTTACCCTCTGGTTCCTCTCTTCCCACTTCTGACACTGTTTCTGCCTTTCCTTGCCTTTCTCTTCTCTGCCCCTTCCTCTCGTTCACACGCTCAGACTCCTCTCAGGCTCCCCTCTTTCTCTTGACCCCCGCCGGTGACCTCAGGCAAACTTTCTCCATCTCTAGCCCAGGCCCCAGCACCCACGCTCCCAAGTGTCCGCGGTTTCACAAAAAGGATGAAGATTCCAGAGGAGAGGGAAAGAAAGTGCCAGGACATGCTGGCCTAATATTTCTTTGGGGGTTGAGTAATTACTAGGTCTCCTAATTTTCCTTCCAAACTAAGGAATCCCTGATTTCCCTCAGTCTCTCTCCCTCAAAGTGTAAATTAGTGCCTTGAAAATAACCCTGATTGGAGACTAGGGAGCAGGAAACCGTCTGTAGGGTCCTCACTGGCTGCCCGGTTAGTTGACCTTGGGCAAGGTGCACCTCCAGCGACCTGACTTGTGCGGAAACAGGGAGCTTGGCGCCAGGCAGAGCCTTCAGTGCTCGTCTCCCACCAGGATGCTGAGGTTTACATTTGTTGGCTGTTAGTAAAGTAAGGTACTATTCCCTTTTCCCACCCCAACAGATACTTTTCTTTTGTACTAGAATCAGGCAGAAAAATTTTACGAGTTGACCGAAAGCTTGCAGGTGGTGCCTGGCAGTGGACAGTCCAGGGGGAGTTCCAGGGTGGTTGGCAGTGGACAGTTCACAGGATGTTCCTGGGTGGAAAATGACTTTGCCTGAGAGACACGAGAGACCTTTCTCATGTCCCTTGACCCCTGGATCTAAACTGGATTGGAGAAATGACCCATGTCTTCACGACCCTCCTTCATCTCCACTCACACACACACACACACACACACACACACACACACACACACATTCCTCTTCAGAGCCTAGGTGATGGCAGACAATTGGACTTGGAGCCCAGGTACACCTTTTAAGGGGAGGAGCCTGGAAAGCATGTACATTTCTTGGGACTAATTCTGCGGAATCTTTCCCTCCCAAACCAGGGCCTTGAGACTTTACTTAGCCTGCAGGTTTTAAAGCACTTTCTCATCTGTGGTTTCAGCTGGTGGAGCAGAGTAGCTGACACCCCAGACCTGCCCTCCAAAAGGAAAACTGCATCCGCCCTGCTGAATGGGGAAGTAGCTGTTTAAATAGGCTATTTTTAATAGGTGTTCTGCTTTCAAAGTGCTCTTGGCGTGTATCTTCTAATGGTTGGATTTAAAAGTTATATGACTTCCTCCCTTCTTGCCAGAGCAGGACTCTTGGTCCCCCTCTCCCCACCCTCCACATGAAACACCGCTGGTGAAGGTTTGGCTTGGCCAAGATTAAATATTCTCAGGTGGTGTGGCAGTCCTTGGCACTCACAGTTAGAGCCAATCATAACGAGAGCTTCCTTCACTGCCTTCACTCCCTCTGAGCCTGGCACTGCTCTCAGGGCTTATTTACATAGATTGTGTCTTTTCATTCTCCCAGCAATCTTTGAGGTGGCTGCTCTCAGCTCCCATTTTACAGATGGGGAAACTGAGTCTGTGGGAAGTGAAACAGTGTGCTTAAGATCAGACAGCCAAGACAGGCCAAAGCCAGGATTTGAATGTGGGTCTCAGTTTCCAAAGCCCTTGCTCCTTCCCATGGCCCTAGGTCGGTCTCTGTCTTCTGTCCCCACCTCCACCTGCCCCCTCTGTTCTAACCTTCTGCTGGCTTCAGCCTGAACGCCTTCCTTCACCTCTCCTTCTGCAGCAGAGGGACCTGAACTCCTTCCTGTGGACTATTCGGCGCGACCCCCCGGCCTACCTGTTTGGCACCATCCACGTCCCCTACACCCGTGTCTGGGACTTCATCCCGGACAACTCCAAGGCAGCCTTCCAGGCCAGTGCCCGCGTCTACTTCGAGCTGGACCTGACCGACCCCTACACAATCTCGGCGCTGGCCAGCTGCCAGCTGCTGCCGCACGGGGAGAACCTGCAGGACGTGCTGCCCCGCGAACTCTACTGGCGTCTGAAGCGCCACCTGGACTACGTGAAGCTGATGATGCCGTCGTGGATGACACCCGCACAGCGGGGCAAGGGGCTCTATGCCGACTACCTATTCAACGCCATCGCGGGCAACTGGGAGCGCAAGAGGCCGGTGTGGGTGATGCTCATGGTGAACTCGCTCACGGAGACCGATGTTCGCTCCCGTGGCGTGCCAGTGCTTGACCTGTACCTAGCCCAGCAGGCTGAGAAGATGAAGAAGAGCACCGGGGCCGTGGAGCGCGTGGAGGAGCAATGCCATCCGCTCAACGGGCTCAACTTCTCCCAGGTAAGCCCGGGGCGCCCGGGTCCCAGAGCCCAGCCGTTCCCATGTGCCTTCCTCCTCTTCTCAGATTGTCTTCCTCCTGCTTCCAGATCCTGTTCTTCCCTTAAAAGGAGAGGATCTTTCGAGATGTGGGGCAGCTCTTGGGCTGCCTTTGTGGTGGTCTGAGGACAAACTGGTGTGTGCTGAACTTGCGGGGGAGAGTTCGGGTGTTTGCTTCTGTCTCAATGTGCCACCTGGCCGGGATGTATACACTCCCCACCTGCTGTGCCCGCCCAAGCAGAAAGAATTTCCCTCGGAGCATCACAGTCATGAGAAGCAGAGAGGTGCCAGTTTGTGCCTGACTTTCCCTGAGGCCCTGGGGTCTCAAGAGCAGGAGGCTGTCCTGAGGCCACTGGGAGGATGCATCTGGGCAGCCGTTTGTGTGTGTGTGTGTACACGTGTACGGAGGACGCATAGAGGGAGATGTGCTTCCTGGGGTTGGGAAGCAGGAGAGGTGCGATGGACCTGGTGTCTGCTGACCCTGGCTTGCAAGTTGAGGTAAAGAGCTGCCAAATTTCCCAGGGGCCTCTACAAAGTTCCATGTGCTCTTCGGACTGCCTCCCTAGGCTGAAAGAAAGTCAGCAAGGATAGTTTAGGGGTTAGTAATTTCAGAGAGATGTGTTCACTTCAAGGTTGACAGTTCTGATTTCTGAACCTCAGTCATGGGGGCAGGGAGGAGGGCGGAGCTTACCCAGCAAAGTGTCGTCAAAAGCCCTGTCTCCGTGGGCAGAGGTCACTCACAACTCACTGGCCCCAAACTCAACTCTGAGGCCCTGAGAACAATGAGTTCACATCTGCGCCTTGAGACGGGCTGTCAGTCCCAGAATGGGCGCGCTGAGTCAGGGGCTGGTGGCTTCTGCAAGAAGGACCCTAGACAGGGCCCTGGGCCCATGCTGCAAGTGAGGCATGGTCCCCAAGACATGCTTTCCCAGGAAGGAGCCAGCCCAGTAAATTGGCTGGCCTAGAAGCTCTACCGCTGGAACCAGACCTGCTTGTGCTCCCGAGATGCTGCAAGCTCTTCACCAGGGAAACAGGAGCAGAAACTGATCCCCCTTCAGAGATCTCTGGCTTTTGTTTTTCCAGGGGAAATGCAATATTGTCCCCAGGGAGGTAAGAAGCCAGATTGATTTGCCGGCCAAATGAAAGACGGGTTTGTCGTTCTCCTGCTGGCTCTCCCATAATTGTGGAGTCCTTACCCAGAGGGCCCGGTGGCAGGAATATTGGGGCAGTTAGTCACGCCCCGCAGGGTTCTGACTACGCCTGACTCCTTCTCCGCGGGGAAAAATCCTGTGCATTCTCTGGCCCAGCACTGATTCCTCTGAACGTACCGGCTCGCTCCCTCTGAAGTGACTTTTCCCTTGCCAGCCTCAGGAGCTGATATTATCTGCGTTAGGCTCCCCAGTGCTCACCGCCCATCTCATTTTGGAGACAGGTTTGTGGGAGGCCTCTCTGTTCAGAGGCCTCATGACTGGCCTCGATGTCTTTTTTTAGGCTGGGAAGGTGGGTGACCCGCTGTCCCTCTCAACACCCTCTTTGTACCAACCACAGAGGAATCCAACCAGAACCGAAGGGAGCACACAGACCCTCTGGTTAAACAGCCCTTGGCTTTAGTCTGTCTCTCTTAAAACAACAAAACTATCTTTCTTCGAGGTCTGGAAACACTGCTGTGCAACCAAAGGATGGCTCTGGTAGGTTGAAAACATTTGCTGGAAAGCATGCGAGGTTATGTTTTAGGAAAAGTTCCTGAGAGCCATTCATCGGCCAGCAAGAAGCCCGCTGACAGTCTCCAAAGCCCACGTTTGAAGATCAAACAAACTCAAATCTCTGGTTTCAAAAATGCACCCACCCCATCACCAGCCTGGGCCCACTCTTAAAATTGTTCTTGGGTCCAGCTCCCTGAGAGGGCTGCAGGAAGTAAGTCCTGAACAAAAGAAAACAGGATTCCTCTCGGTTCCCTAATCTGCACACCCTTCACCACCTGCCAGAGTGCCTGACCCCGCCAATTTGTCCTGTTATCATTTTGGAGCAAGGTGATGAAATCTCTCCTCCATACTCGTGGGCAGGCATGGGCTAACTGGGAAGGGAGCGATTCCAGAGCCTGGGCAGATGGAGCTGTTAGGGATCCCCAACCCCAAAGTCAGAACCTTCTCAGTAAAATTGTATGCACGCGTGCACAGTTTGATATGAACATCTGTGATGCATTATTGTACTGAAATATCTGTTAAGTGCATCAGATTTTTATTTTTTCTTTCCTCCCAGCATTACTGTTATTGCAAAATATTTGGGGAGGGGGAAGCAATGAGAGAAGACGGTGAGGGTAAAAAAAGCTTGAAAAGAGAGTGCGTTTTGTTAAGACCTGGGATTTTAGTTTTAATTTTAGTATTTCTCAAAATTCTTATATTTTCTTCTGTCAGAAATACCACATTTTCCCTAGCTAAATGGAGAAAGAAAGCTATACCAGCTAAAGGTAGGACTTATGTAAAAGTTTCTTCTGTCTCTGTACAGCCTGAAAGATCAAGCTTCTTGGCCCTGGTCTTTAATATGAACTGAGCGTGCTGAACCCAACATCACCGTGTGTTTGCTTTGTGACCTTGAGCAAGTCACTTCCCCTCTCTGGCCCTTGTTTTTCCCATCTGTGAAATGAGACACCAGGATTAGGTCATCATTCAAGCCACTCAACCCTGACATTCCATGGGACGATTTTAATCAACTCCATGTGCCAGGCACCCTGCAGGAAGCTCTGCACGCTTTTTCATCTTGTCGGAGTCTCACATCCCTATGACTTTCTTAGGTGGGCACTCTGAAAGCCTGGATGACTTGACCAAGGCCACGTGGCTAATAAGGAACAGAGCCAGTCTGCCTGACTTGAGGGAAGGATGCAATCCCCATGCTGCCCTCCGTTGATTCCCTGGACATCCTGCGTCTTGGTGGTTCATGTCCTGCAGTTTTTCCTTCAGTACTTTCTTTGGTATCCTTCTTTCCTTTAGGGTAAAGGGCTCAACAGTTTACTTCTTGGAGAATTTGTCCTTCTAGAGAAATTATTTCTTTTGGCTCTGTGGCTGGAGCGGGGATGGTAAAGGCAGGTCCTCTAAAGATTTCTCTGATGTGTTTACAGGCAGTAGTGGGCTGAGGGATGGGAGTCTAGCTTCTAGGTTTCGGGCCCAGCTCTGGCTCCAAAGCCAATGACTTGTGTATAACTCTGGCATTCTTGTTTATCTCTTGAATGGAGCAGTAGTGACGAGCCTTTTTTTTTTTTTTTTAAACAACTGAGCTGGTTTTGTGAGGATGTGAACCGACACGACCTGTGGGGGGGTTGTCAGGAGGGTAAGAGACTCCCTAGACATAGGGCCCGTGCTTGGAAAAGAGTCTGGGAGGCTTCAGGACAAGGAAAGAAGGATGCATGGGAAGCATCACCTTCCCTTGTTGGCACCTTCTCCCAGCAGCCATGCCCACTGCCTGTGCTTTGCTGAACAAAGTAAAGCTGGAGTAATAGGAGGTGGCGGTAGCCCCTGCGCTCAGGGGCCTGGGGATGCCTGAGTCTCGAGTCTAGATCTTGTGACAATCTTGAGACCTGCCCATTTCAATCAGCTCTGCTGGCTGCCGCTGGGGCTTGGTACCAGCTGCCACGAATGCAGTGGGCTGATCAGGGGACCTCCTTCTCCCTCTAGGGGGCCTCAGTGGCCCCCACTCAGTACAGTAGAGGCACCGGATGAGGAGCGCTCTAAGTTATGTGGTTCTCCGAGGCAAGACGAAAAAACGAGGACACTGCCATTCTGAACTTGGCTGTGATTTAACTCACATGCCGACGCTGTTCATCCAGTGTGTGTGGCTTGGGCGTGGCTGCCAAGGGTGTCCTAGATGTTTGTAAAATTCTACAGCCTCCTCTAAGAGGAGTTAGAAAGCCCAAAGTTATCATTTATTGAGCTGTGTCTCCATACGGGGTGCTATATTAGACCTTATAATTACATCATCGCTAATCCTCCCAGAGATGTGACAAGGCGTGTCATTGTATCTCTTTTACAGACAGTAAATTAAGGTTTAATAGGTTAAGTCATTCGGTTGTGATTATACAGCCAGGTCAGGTGGACTCAGGATTCAAGCGTGAGTGTGTCTGATGCCAGAGTATGTTTTTCAAGATTCCGAGAGCTGATGTAATTTTGTTTTTAACAGTCAGATGGCATTATCTGGTGATTTGTGTGTGTGTGTATTGTAGTGCAGGGAGATCATCATATCTTGCTAAAAAATAAAATATTAAAAAAATGTACTGAAAGAGATCATTGAAAAGTGCTGAAACTGCTTTTCTCCCTGGCTTAGAAATTGGATCTGATTCTAAAATAGGAGTTCTTGCCTGGAGAATCCCATGGACAGAGGAGCCTGGCAGGCTACAGTTCATGGGATCGCAAGAGTTGGACACGACTTAGCATGCTATCTTTCTTTCTTCTAAAGGCTTGCCCAGCTTTCCAAGGGACCAAGGTGAAGACAGGACCCCTAACACAGGCTAGGCTAGGCTATTCAGCACAACTGAATAAAGGGTCTCCTTGGTTATAGTCAGAGGTCCTAGATCTATCTGAGGGAACAGCACATACTATGGGGTGCTTAATTAGGATTTAGAGAGAGACTGAATGGTCAGAAACAACGATATGACCATCCCTGCTTCCCTTCCTTCGTCCAGCACTATGGAATGGATGAATGGATGAATGAAGCAGGATGGCACAAGCTCCCTCCTTGAACTTTAATAGTTCTTCACCATCCTACCGGAGAAGGCAATGGCAGCCCACTCCAGTACGCTTGCCTGGAAAAATCCCATGGACAGAGGAGCCTGGTAGGCTGCAGTCCATGAGGTCGCTAAGAGTCGGACACGACTGCGCGACTTCACTTTCACTTTTCCCTTTCATGCGCTGGAGAAGGAAATGGCAACCCACTCCAGTGTTCTTGCCTGGAGAATCCCAGGGCCGGGGGAGCCT